TGCTTCATGACACATATCAAAGCTGAGTGTCCTGGGAGATGTGCCTCAAAACCTCCCACCAGACAGAAGGCCTAACAAGGATGTGTGCTGAGAAGGGAAGATCCAAAGTCAGACACACAGTGTCTTAACAGAGCTGCCTACAGTCTGCCACGGTCTGGTTTTCCATTTCCTGGCTTTCTGTATGCTTCAGAAAGATGTCAAGAAATGTAAATCCCAGACACACTGCACTTGGCCAATTTTGCAGTCTCTGTGTGGTACCACTTGTGAATTTTCTTCTTGTTCCCAGCTGGCAATCAAAGTGTGCCCGATAGCAAGAGGATTACACTCACCCTTAAAACTCATTGCAGTCACTCAAATTATTATATTACTATTCTGAACCTCACCATGAGTCTTAACTAAATCCCTGCATAGTTATTAAGGGATCTGCTATCAGGCTTCCAACTACTTTCATATTCACCAGTTCTTTTTTCAATCTGAAGTTTGCACCACTTCCAGGTAGCTCCCCAGGAAAGATGTATTTTGGTTTTCTTAATGCATATTCAGAGGTTTCCTTCTAACGTGGACCTGGGCCATGGCTTAATGCCTGAGAATTGTTAACAATACCAATGCTTCAGAATTCAATTTCCCAAATACCCAGTGTAGTAAGTGAGCAGCCTGTGCTAAGTATGTTTCATGTGTTCTGCCTATATAATGACTCGATTCTGAGCTCACAGCAGTTAATAACTGTTTTTAACACTCTTCAGAAAAGCGATCAAGCTGTAAGGAACCTTCACCACAGATGCAGTCATATGCCTAATCCAGAAAAAATATGTAGGCATGTTCCTGTTTCTAAAGTGAGAAAAATCTCAGATATAAACAGAACCATTCACAATCATGAAAAGAAGCATCAGCTTAAAAACCATTGATTACAGTCTTTATCAGCTAAAGGGACTGCAGTGTTTGCCTGTTTAACACATACATTTTTCTGTGCTTAGGGACAACACTGCTCTTTTCAAACTTCAATTATTGAAGCTTTTTAAAAAAACCTTTTTTGGAATTCTAAAGTTCTTTGACATGATTTGTAATAGATACATTGTTTATATTGTTTTATAGGTAAACATGAAGCAGTGTAAAAAGACAGAGGGTTTCCCAGAAAACCTACTAGGAGTAACCATAAAAAAAGAAAAAAAAACAGAAGGGAAAAATAAAGATGGGAATTCCATACAGTTGGTGGAGTCAGTTCAACCATCCTGCACATCTGACATACATCCTTCCATCCTGAAAGGTGGGGAAGACTTTTCATGACCTGGCAGCTAAAGCTATGCCCTGTTACCTGGGAAACCTCTCTTAACAACTTAATCCCACATATCTCAAGGGAACTTCAGAGGAGTCAGTAATTTATAACAATGCTGAGGGAAGGGAATAGATGAAGATATAAACTGGTCAGACCCACAAGCTAACATGAGCAATAGAAGAGGAGAGTAAAGCTTGGCAGGATCAAGGGAGCCTTGCAGTTGCCCCAGGGTAGAGAAAGAGAGGGTGGAAAGTGGACAGAGGCAGCCTCTCCTCAACACATTCCTGCATGATGCCAGTCAACACATTTCAAAGCTTGTGCCATACCTTGTTTGTTCATAAATATATTCTTCAGCCCCCACTGACACACTCCGATACTTCTGAAAAACAAAAACAATTAAATGCAGTTTGATACAATCAAAATGCAAATACCAACAAAAGTATAATTATGTTTACTTAAAGACAACTCAGAAGAAACCACCAACCATTTGAAACTCAAAATATCTCAAAACCGGAGTGAATATTAATATACTAGTGACATTTTATATGAAGGTTAAAGGCTGACATTGTCAAAAAATGCAATTTACTTAACTAGCCTCAAAAATTTGGTTTATACTATAAAGGACTAATAAATAAATCACACCTACATAAGAATATGAGCGATGAGAATGTTATATTTGTTAGAATTGTATCTGAAGAACACAGCAAGTGATTGACCAGTATCCACTACCACAGAGATCTATAAAAACTCAGCACTCCTTCAGTATAACAGAACTAAATCACTCCATAAGTGTTCTGAAACAATTTCTAAATATGTATTCATAATGTTTAAAAATTGAGTAGGTATTAGAGCAAATCCAAACCCAGTCATTCTCACCAGTACCTAGGAAGAAAGTATTTTCCAAGCACTTAGGAAAACTAGTAAGAACCACTGTATTTGAGGTCTCTTCCAACCCAGTTGATTATATGATTCTATGATTCCTACTTTTAAACACTAATTTAGTCCAGGTTCCTTTCGGTATGTTTCGGCATTTTACCTTATGGTCTCCCCACACCTGATACAGTTGTCCCTACACAACAGCCTGTGGCTGGAGAAGCAGTCAGAGCACAGCAGGAGCAAAGAACATCCTGGGATTTGGGTAGTTGAGAAGAAAAGGGACAGGCTTAGCGCTGAGTGAGGCTGCAGCAGGGTGGCAAAGCTTTTCCTGCTCCCGTGTCACATGCATGTGACCATTTGGGGCTAGAAGGCCACCAACAGTGGCACAGACCTCACCTAACACCCACAGATGGGGACCTAGTTAAAGTTAGTTGTTTGGTCTCCTGAGGTGAAGATGGAGAGCAGTGAGTGTGCCTGGCAAGCCCACTTTTGACAAGCAGAATTGAACTGATTCTTTCTCCACAGACTGTAGAGAAAGCCAAGATGACAAGTACTGTATCCTGTTATTAACTGATCAGTTTAAAAAACATGTAATAAAAATTACCATTCTAACAAAACCACCATAACATGGAGTTTGGGATGCAAAGCCAGCATATAAACTCCTTTTTTACATCCAAATTAAACAAGTTTGCACATCTGACAGCACTCTGCATAGTGCAGACAGGCTGTTTGGGAAAGACCCAGCACCATGTCCCAGAACAAACCAATGTAATGGAATCACTCTGCTACAGCACTCCAGGGAAAGCCGTAAGGTGGTACCACTGGGCCTGCACAAAGAGCCCTTTACCAGTAACAATTAAAAATAGCTGAAATAATGTGATTTGGTAGTGCAGAGCAGTGTCTCCAACCTAAGGTTTGATCTCACTGATTTTACAGTGGCAAGCTAGATTTCCTCCTTAATTATTCATTTAATTGACCTACATGTGTTCTGTATCTGAAAATGGATTTCACCTCCAGACATCTTGATCTATGTTGCTTGTGGAGATAATGTACTTTTCTATAATACACATACACAAACACAGAGTAAATTTCTCATATACTCGGAGTAACTCAGCCTTAATGTAGCCTGCCTTGTGCTTTAGTTACATTTACAATTTTGTAGGGTTGGGAGGAAAAAAACCCAAGGGGAGCATTACCAGCTCATCTCTCTAATTATTTGCAGAGGTACTTTCAGCTTTAAATAGTCTTTACCCTTCTACATTTCCAGCTTGTTTGCATTATGCTGCAGCAGGCAAAAGCAGCCAGAGGGTACTCTACCACACTAAAGCTGAATTTAAAATTACTTTGACTCAGCATAACTGTAAAATAGTTAAAGAGAGCTCCTTGTCTCTCTTCTCCTCCTCATTCCTGTACATGTTAAATTCTCCACTTCCCTCTAGTTGTCTAATTCTACTATTTTTTCTCACTTGCCCATGTTGCAGAGTAGAGCTTAGCGCAGCAGACAGCTGCTGAATAAATCACTTAGGTTTATCCTGCAGCAGAGGCTGACACTGCTCATTCACACTTTCAGAAGAATATCTAGAACTTCCCCGTTATAAAGTGCTGCTATTTCTTACTCTTATGAATAGGTCTGAAGGCAGATCTTATTAACAGAAAATAAATCTTCTTTCAGAATGGCAGCTATCCTCTACTTGACACAATATCCCAAAAGACAAAACATCAATATCTATTATTCTCAGGGTTTCCAATAAACATCTTTAAAATTGTCTTCTGAAATGTCTCATGATGCTCCCCTATAATCAGAGCACAGACTGACAGGAACACAGCAAGGAGCAGAGATGCGTTTGTTGAAACAGGCATCACTGCTCTTCTGATGGCTCTTGTGGACAGCTGGAACCTCCTTATCTTGTTTACAAGCTCAAATATCCTTATTTTGTTTACGGCTTTTTATTGAATTCTTAGAAGCTAATTTGAGGTGAAAAACTTACTTCTGTTCCTCCATCTTTGAAGGTGTCACTGTAGGTACTGTCAGGAGTGCTGCGCTGGTCATCTTTGAGATAATTTGTGTGGGGAGCAATGCTGGACACTTCGTATGGTTCAAAGATAACCCCTCGGTGCTCCTCATTTTCTCCTCTGGCATAGTGTGCTTGTGGGGTCATAAAAACAGGGGTGAAGTCCTCTGCTTTAACCACAGTCACTCCGGTCCCTGTGATGGGCGTTGAGCTCCCAGACACACTTGTGTTGTATTCCCTTTTGGACGGCTCCAGAGGATCTTGGTTCAAGGAAAGGTTAACTGGCACTGTCTTCAGGACTTGCACACGGTTCTCTCCCCCACTTAAGTTACTCTGAGCTTCCGTGGTATTAAGACAATTTCTGTGAGACAAAACCAAAAACTGTCATGAACTGTCTTGATAGAGTAAACCTCCTCCTTAAGTAGCTTAATGTTCTTAGATGTCAGAGAACGAGATCTTTCAATTCTGATAAGCCACTGCCATAAGAAGTAATACATTAACAAAAACTAGGCAAAAGAAGTTGTGAGG